AGGGGCGCAATCTGTCTCACAGCTCCAGATTTCTTAATGTTTCTCATTGGTGTCAGCCACGACATGCCAAGAACCTTGAACCATAAGGCTCTGCGTTAGATGAGCGAGGATGTAGTAGCTTCGTGATTCCGCATCAACATGTGAGTGCTGTTGATGCAGCGACTTGTTTCCGAAGGCTACGGACGTTCCCTTCTCAACCCAGCTTGTTCCAAAGATACCTATCCTTGCGGATGGGCAAGTTTGATGAGCCAGTGCGCGCATGCAAAAAGGATCCTGCCCTCTCTCTCATTCTTGACGGTGCAGCTTCGAGACAGCTGTCTGCAGAATTCTGAAACCAGCCGTGAAGCCATGACAAAAGTTGCGGTAGCAAAAGAGGACTCAGTTCACTGCCTCATGAAGGTTCCTGCAAACATCGATGGCCCAAGTGCATCCATGAAAGCCCAAATCAAGCCGCCTCTGCAATCGCAGTGTCGAAGTTTCGCAGGCCTTGCCCGAGGGAGCCTCTTTGGCAGACATCAAGGCTGCCGGGCCCTCGACGCGATTCTGCGACTGCGACATCTCTGCACCCTCCGAGTTTGAGGCTCAGGCCGATGCCTGCAAGTGCCACAAGGCCAAGGGCAATTTGAGTGCTCGGCCGTGCTTTCCGCACTCTTGCATAGACAGGCAAGCAGCTTGACAAGGGAAGTTTGATGGGCGTCACGAACGTGCAAAGCTTCCACCCCTGTTACCCTGAAAAGCGCTTTTGTAGCAGCACCCCTCAGAGATCAAAAAGCAAGAGCTCTGTCGATTCGAAAGCAGGAGGAGCTCCTTGAGCCTTTGGCCACCCGCCGGGACAAGGACGACGAAACTACACAGGGAAAGTCTTCAGGGATTGGGCTTCACGTCTCGTTGCCAGGGTATTTCTAAGCACCCTGTCCTGCGGTTCTGACTGGCCTTGCCGTTCCTGGTATACTTGGTATGATTAAGGTTGCTGTTGGGCTTGGGCACTTGGAGTTCGGGCGTGTTGTTAATGTCGGAGACAGCCAAGTTCTACTCAACGAGGAAAGTGTCTTCCCCTGAATACGAAGAAGCCTATCTCGTTGCTTTCAGTATGATACGACGATGGTGTGATGATGTGTTGACGTTTGTGACGTTGGCAATGGTCGTGGGGATGATACAGCAGCAGCTGCAGCGGCTGCTGCTGCAGCTGCCTCCTTAGAATGATGACGAAGATATCACATGTGTCATCCCGGTTATTATTCTAGTTCGTGCGATTGATATGTTTCGATTGGCATGTGATACTACGACTCCAGCATTCTTGCAGGGCGGCGTTAAGGAAGTTCGATTGCGAACATCGCCAGCGCAATGAACAGTGAATACAAGTGAAGATCTCGAAAGGACTCTTCTGAAACTCCTGCTTGCGACCCTGGACCCATCTTGACACCCTTACTGTTGCTCTTGGAGCTTAGACAGAGCCACTTCAAAGCCCTGTCGGCAAGGCGGCGACAATTGCTGAACGCTTCGGTCTGGGCACCACGTCTGCAATTTCCGGACACGTGTGTACTGCTGCATCTAAGTCTAAGTCAGGGTGTTCCGGTTTGCGGCCAAGGCTAAGCGCATGTCTTCCGCTGTGAAGTTGATCCACAGCATCAACACGCCCTCCCAAATGCACTTACCTCAAGGGTGTTCTTCGGCAATGTGGCTTTTCGTAGAGCCAGTCTGTTGGACAGATTGCTAGACATGCGTTTGAGCCCCGGAGCTTCAATGACATGTGCTATCAGTAAGGAATCTCGAATTCTCGTCAAGTTTAAGTTGAACCCGCTGCCTGGATGTCTGACGATCTGTGGAGGCACAGCTGTCGGAAGCACAGGCTCATCCTCATCGCAAAGCCAGCGTGGGCAGGCCTGCGGGAAGGAAGCTTTCCAGACCGCTTCAGCAGAGAGAGCAGCCATCACTTGCGTTTTCGGTACGAGGAGCGTGATTGGTCTGACAAAAACTTGCTCGCGTGTCTACAACAGTACTGTTTGATGCCATGCACTAGTTCGCCTCTATTTGCGTTGGGTTCTTCTTCGTCATGATTGTCGTAGTTGTTACAACCATGAATCAAGCGATTTTAGGCCTGCTCCCTGCCGCGGTTGCCGAGCGCGTGTCCAACAAGCAACCACGGAAGCTTGACCTTCCCTAGATGATTAGGACAATGGCGCTGGCAAGCAGCTGCTCAGTCTCCTGCAAGGAGGATGTTCTTCAAGAGTTGTTCCCTCCGTTTGGCATAATTAGGCTTTCTGAATTCCCCAAAATACTATCGCATTTGCCGTGACACCCTTCAGAAGCATTGATAGAAATCTGTGGGCATGCGTCACCTTGCCATGATCTGTTGGAGCCTAGCCAACGCCAAGCTACTCGCCTGCTAGGGGTAATTACCATTTGAGGTCTAGTTCCAAGGAGCAGTCGCCTTTCCAGAAGAGGTTGCAGTAGGTGGAAGCTCTCGTAGTCGGAGGGTTTTAGTGCTCTTGCTGCGAGGACCTGTCCCCTTCCCACCAGCGGATGAGGTACATTTGCAGCTTTGGGATCGTGCTGTTTTCCCCTCTATAACGACGTCTACTGTTCTTTATGTGGAGCTTGCTTACCTTTGCAGAGAGGGGATTAATCGTCGTACGTGTTTGTCAGACCGAGCCTTTTGAAGCCCCTTGTCCGGTCCGGTGAGGCCAACGAGTGGTGGCCAGATTCTGCTTGGGAGTCGTGGCAGGCCGCTCGGGGCCGGGCCCGGTAGTTTTCGGTTTGGTTGCTGTAGGCAGAGGCTCTTAGCGTCAAGGAAGTACGGCAGAGACCTCGAAGCTTGAAGCCACAAGACCCCACCACTCACTGCAAGAGCTGGTATGTCCGAATACCCTTGGCATGAACGAGCCTCACCCAAGCGACGTTCACCCCTTGAGGGTTGGGACAGCAACTGGTGGGCGTATCCCCAGGCCGGGCCTCTGTGCAGCAGTTTGAACTTTCGTTGACTTTCAGCTTTGAAGGCGTTGGAGGGAGTCTCGGCAGGCGACAAACAAGCCCTGCGCAGTTCGCATGGAAATCGTTCGTAAAGAGTGCATGCTGGTAGCTGTGTGCCGGTGGCCGTGAACTCTTCATGCAGGTGAAGTCCACAAAGTACAAAGTGAAGAGCTTCAAAATTGATTTCACCCTGTTCTCCAGATTCCCAAAATAGAGCAACACCCCATTTGATGCTTCAGCTCAGAACTCGCAGGGCGCAGCCGTTCTGTCTTTCAATGTAATGGTTCAAGCTTTCGGCTTCAGCTTGTCTTTCAGGCTTCTGGGTTGAGGTGATGGAATATGGGTGACTCACACGCACGAGCCCTCGGATGGAGACATCTTCGGGTGGTAGCGGTCAGCCTTGATCCCAGCTGGACCAACCTGCTACAGTACCTGGAAGTGCTAGGCTTTCCAGAAATACCATTACACAGCAGAGCTAGGGCGCGCGGGGTGGCCGCAAGAGCACTCAAGAGAGGACGAACATCCGACTGTCCATCTCCAGGAGCTTTCTGACAACCCCTAGCCGTCCCAGCTCTCGCAATGTTGTCCGAGATGGATTCATGGTTCGATACGTGGAGTGCCAGAGTAGTTCATTACTACGGTGTGTATCAAGCAGCGATGACGCAACCTGGCGCAAGGGTGGGTGAAAGGTATACAAGTCAGCAAAGCCAGGGACAAATACTTTCACCAGCCTCCCGGTGCGAAGTTAGTGTCTGGCTGCCAAGTGGGGTTACAAAGGAATGAAAAGGTTGAGAGCCGGACGGTCAAGACCTTAACGACTCACCTTTGAGAGTGCTGACCCGATTCCCGACATTGCAAAGTGAAGCGAGCGCTTTGAAGAGGCAGATGCCCGCTCTGCTCAGCGAAGATCAGGATGGGACGCAGACTTCAGCAGTGAAGCTGACGAGTATCCTAGAGACCTGACAGATAGCTTGCGAGCTTCCTCGCAAGGCCCTGTTAAGCATAAAGCTTTTGTCAGTCATTGTCATCGTGTGTTTCCAGTTGCAGAAGTTCGCAGAAAGTCTCCAGGATTCCCCTCCCGGCCATGTCGAGCTATGTCTGACTCTGCCACATCACTAGGCTCCTCGATGCTGAAGGAGTGTCATCAGCGATTTGCTTCGAGCAAGGAGGCTACAGAAGTCGCGGAAAGAAGGCCCCCCGGACCCTGCGGGGATCGTTTGTTTGTCGTGCATCTGGTTTCCTCAAGCACTAGCTCTCTGTCTCTCTTGCTCGTGGCTTGTTGCTGTCTGCTGCCTGTGCATTGAGAGTTCAAGATGCAAGGTGCAGAGCATGCATTCGGAGGCGTACCGAAGGTTTGTTTAAGCCTTTGAGGGACGTATCTCCACAAGGACCACGATAAATGCAGCATCCCCTCAAAGCCGAGCAACTCTTCCACGCCATACCTTGCCAGTGTACGTTCTTTGGCATGAAGCCCGAAAGCCACAAGACATCTGCAGTCGCTCCTGGAGACTTTGAGAGCTCGCCTCAAGCGATGCTGCGAGGCGTGGTGAGGTGCGACTACCATTGCCTGCCGCGAATCGCTGTCCCAAAAACGTGCTGGCCGGGCTCGGCTTCATATTAGGAGCTCTTAGTCGCATTGTATGCTGCCCGCTCCTTCATGCAAAGCTTCGGACCGACGGCTGTGCCAGTCATCGCTAGCCGCTTGCCATTCTGCATCGGAGTGTGAAAAGTTTCGGCTCCAGATTTTTAATCTCGGAGTGTGACCATGCAGCTTGTCGGGACCATTTAGCACTAGACTGTACGGCATGGACATGCGAATGGATCAACAGGCATCTTGCATGTAGCCGTCCAACTTGTGCTGCATAGAGTTATAGACTATAGAGAAGCAGCGGGCTTAACATGCAGTTGAGACAGGAGAGAGTTGAGAGGTCCTTGAGACATTACCCCTCGAGGTGCGGTTTCTAAGGCCACTGCAGGCAAGATCCAAACGTTCAGGGCTGAGGGAGCTTCCCTCACCGGGTCTTCCAGCCATGGACGATGTGGATGTGGAGGCGAAGCACCAACGCCTAAACACCACAATTTCGGGTCCACCGGGTTCGGAGCCCACTGGGCGTTTCAAGACGGGTGACTGCCCTGGACCATGCAAGCATTGCTCGTTCCTGCCATTCGATTTGAACATGTACGTAGGTAGATGGGACCGCTCACCTTCGGCACATGCGAGTGCACACAGGCCAATAGCCAATTAAGCTTCTTAATCGGCAAAGAAGAAAGTCGACATTTGTCAAGCCATCTGCCAGCGGCCAAGATGGCTGTGTTGGGGATTGAAGCGTGATCTTTACTACAGTTCATGGACCGCAAAATCCGCCGGCCGTGGACCTTTGCAGTCACCAGGGATGCGGATGGTGAGCAGGTGAAGATGCTTCAGGACATGCTCGCAGACCAGTGCCAGCTGCAGGCCAAGCAACTGAAATCGCGACTCGGCTTTACTTTTTCTGCAGGCTCCGGCACTTCCAGAGTTGCAGACAGCACCATGGGCACCACTCCATGTCTCGAACGTCAGTCCTTCTTCAGCCGCTTCGAAGCCTGAACTAGGAAGCACCAGCAATGTCAGATCACACATTGATCCACTACCATTCCAAGCTCTCCTATCTTGACCAAAACTTGCGACCACTCTGCAAGGTTGGAAGACGAGGCCGCTCAGTCCGTTGTTGCGAGATGTTGGAGGGGTCGGTGTTTCGATCTTTCGGTACATGCTGATTTCTGTGAAGCAAAGTACCTGCTTCCTTCGTGAGGGACAGACACATGCCACGCCTGCCGCGTTGCTAAGCGCCTCAATGCATTGGTTTTGAACCTCCGCCGCATCCCGTGCTTTCCTGGCTGTCGACTCCCCGCCGTCCAAGTATAAACTTTGTACCCTGAACACTGGAAGTGCTTGTCCTTCAGCCGCAGGTTGCCCTGCTCAAGACGCGGGCCCAGGCCTTCGCAGAACGTTTGTGCCTCAGGTGGCTGCAGTTCGGGTTGGCTAAAGCAGCATAAAGGTCGTATGTGGCATGAGAGGCGAAAAGCTCAGTGTCAAGATTCCAGCGCCAGCCCTGAATTTATCACCAGGCCGAGCGCGGCGTCTTGCGACGGACCCACTTTCCGGCAGCTTGGCCTCCAACCAGGTCTTTGCGTGAGGGCGAGGGGCTGTTGGAGGCCAGAGGCAGAGCAAGAAGTCAATGACGTTGTGGGGACAGCATTGCAAACCCAAGCTGAGGCCTTTCATAATGTCCGGCATGTCATGCTAGCCATACAAAGCTTCAACAAATCATGAATCCTGATGTACACTGCGCTGAATTCAGCCGATCGTAGCGCGCTCCCAACATGGTAGCAACACGCCAGGGCGTCTCGTACCCCTGTTTGAGCAGACTTTGTTGCGACTTTGCGCTCCCGAGAGAGCAGAGGTTTTGGTCACCTCACTCAAGCCAGCACCATTTTTCAACTGAACGCAGCATCCCGCATCCCTATAGCATCCATTGAGGCATCGACACTGCCTTCGTGAGGCCGTCGCCCTCTGCCTGCTTTGACTTCGGTCGGTGTTGGGTTTCTGCGTCTGCCTTTTCGCCGGTTCGAAGCCTAGGTTATGATTGCTCAGATTCACCCCTACCCAAGCCACTGGTTAAGCCTTTCTGTTTCAGTGACTTTAGTGCCGCACGAGGAGGGTGGAATGGAAGCTGCAGAAGTGCAGCGAGACCATCAGGCCTTCACGGCGGTTCGAAGGATTCTGTTCAAGGCACAATTCTGGGGATAAGGCTTCCAATTCTTGGCATGGGGGAGGATGAAACATATGTCGGTGCAGAAACAAATGCAGCACCAGGGATTGCGGAATCAGAAAGCTACGCTAGGCCGTGTGCATTCCTCCAAGCCTCGAAGCAGCATGAGCTGCCACATCTCAAAGCCACAGCAGCCCCGTGCTCCAACTCCAACTAATAGTAGCAGCCTGAAACCCTGTCAGTTTTGCTGCCACAGCTGTCAGCTTAATCACAGCTTCTTCGGAGGAAGATGTCCAACAACCAGTGCATCTGGCAAGCATCCCAGCACTGCGCGAAGACGCTGTCTTTCGCCGGGCTGATTCCTTGTACTTTCGCATGGAAAGTACCCGCAGTTTTCTGCTTTTGCAGGGCAGGCACTTCCTTTCTTGCCGTGGTCGCACAGCTCTTTTTACTTGCAGTGTACTAATACCTGCTGCAAAGCCCCATCAAAGCGGGGGCCGGACCTCAATGCCTTGGCGGAGGTCCAGCTCCTTTTCGGCTATGGGGGTGCCGGATATGCAGCTCGAGTTCTTTCCGCAAGGCAGGGACAGCGCGCTGATTCCGTGTACCGTCTGACCTAGCCAGGGCCAAGGCCTGGCAGAAGGATGTAAACCCTGGCAGTTTCGTCTACCTGCGGTTGATGTTCTGAGAGCTTGAAGACAGAACTCAGGAGGCCAGAACTTGAAAGGTGTTAGGGGGTGGGCTCCAGCGTACATCCTGGTTGCATTCCCAGACCGAACCTGCCAGCGTCCTGAGGGGCAATTGTGTTAGCAGTTTTCCTGACCCGAACAAACTCCGGAAGGATCCCTCAAATGTTGGTAACCAGCCATCTCAATCCTAGACCTCATCCCAGGACGGGAGACGTCTCAGAAGGGCTTCTGTGCCCTCTTTCTTTGGTGCCCTGGCCACCTGAAGCTGAAGTGCGCTCCTGGAATTCAACTCAGGGTCAGCGACGGCAACTCGTTCTACACATGCAGTCTGGTCTGGAGTCTAAAGTACTGTGTAGTCATCTCAAAATTCTACCTCGTCCATCGCCAAAGGCTTGGGACTTGGAGCTCGGCACATCTAAGGATGACGGGGCTTGGAGTTTCGAGATCAGCTAATTTGTGCTTGCCCTTTATGGCCCTTCTTTAGCCAGTCTTTAGTAGCTTGTCCCTGCTTATGGTCTGGTGCCCACCCTATCACGGAATCAGCGTGCTTGGAGCTGCAGGTAGTAGGCATGGACCGCAGTCTCGGAGTCGAAGGCGAAGATCCGAAAGTGGACCAGTGCGGCGCAGGTACCGACTCGAGGTCGGCAGCCACGCCTCGATCGATGAGGATGTCTTCACCAGCCGGTCAACTTCTTAGACTTGCGTGGGCCCAGAGGCTTGCGTTTGGTTGTGCGCTGTGAGTTCTGCGCTCCCTGGGGAGCAGGTCGCCAACATGTGCTTGAGCAAGGGCTGCAATGCATTTGGGGAAGGACTTGGACGAGGTTTGCTCGGTTTCCATTTGCAAGGTCAGTAGCTGTGATGCAGACTTCAGCAAGAAGCTTCGGCAGCCGCAGGCGAGCAGTCATTGTACCAAGGCAAGTATGGAAGCCTCAATGGCTCGAAAATCATCCCGACATCCAAGTGCATAATTCAGAGCACCGAGGATTGGCCACGGCCACTCCAACTTCTGCTTCCTGGAGGCCAGCAGCATCTTGTCACGTTTTCTCTGGGGTTCACTGGGCCGACGCAGGGTTTTGACAGGATTGGATGCCACTTGCAAAACCCAAGCCGGCCGAGAGTCCCAAGTTCGGTGTTGACATTTTCAAGCCTTTTGGCATGTACCGGTTTTCGTGAAATTGCTCGTCCTTGGTATTTCAGCACCCGGAATGGAGAGGGTTTTGGAGTTCGAATCTGTTGCGCTGCCTCGCTCCATGTTGCAAGGCCCTCAAGGGCTGACCCCAAGGGCTGACTTGCCTCGCGGGGATCGCCCGATTTCTGCACGTCCCTGCATCCGGAACCGCCGCACTTCGGCTCCCGCAGGTTCGTCTGTTGAGTCATGGAGGGAAGCGACTACCAAACAGCTTCCGCGTCCCAATGCAGCAGCAGTCGAGACATGTGCTATGCCATCCAGCCACTCTGTCGATTGCAGGTGCTGAAGGTCTTTTTGAAAGTGTTTCGCCAAGCGGTTCGGGACTCATGTGTCGCAACAGCCGCGGAACTTCAACAGCACAGTATCGCCATGCAGCTTTCTAGTTTCCACTTGTCTGGGTAGCAACTTTCGAGGTTTCAGGGCGTAGGAGATTCGGGCTGGCAGTGGCCTCGAGCTTTGCAAGCAGCTGCGTGTGCTTGACCTTGGCGCTGTTGGCTTCAGGAGGCACGAGGGAATGCACTTGTCTGCGTTCGTACCTACGCCCATGCCAGAGTTCCAAGAAGCGGATGTGTGTGTGCGTACATGGTTGCATGCATAATTACATGCATGCATTGTAAATATCTTGACTGTAAAGGCACGCGTATTTTTGCAGCTTTACAGATTATGCATAGACATGTCAGTGCATACATACGTACATACATATGTGCATGTGAACATACCTACCTTACATACATACATACATACATACATACATACATACATGGCTACATGCATGCTTGCACAAGCGCAGACATATAGAAGCATACGTGCATACGCCCACGCAGTTTGGATTCCGGAAATCATAAAGCACCTCACATGCAATATCTACTGTCTGGCTCGCAGATTACAAGATATTTCAGAGAAGTCAAGAACTGCTAGTACTCTAATTCTGTTGGACAGGGAGAAGGCTTTTGATAAAAGTGTCGCAACAGAGAATGCTTGAAGTATTGCGTCGCTTGCAAGTACCAGACACAGTGTCTGAATTCAAAGTACTCTCCGGTAACAATGAATCTGAATGGAAATTTCAATACAATGGCATAAGGCAGGGGATGTCCCTTTTCGCTGTACTTGTTTGTGCTAGTCATGGGAGCTCTGTTCGCAGACATTAAGATGGAACTTTGCACACTAAGACAACTCATTTACTTCTCTGAAGCCGTATTTGCAGACGATACGCTAATCTTTGGAGCTAACATGCAGTGTATTAGCAAGCCATTTGAAAGGCACAGCGCGTAATATGGGTTGAAACTGAACGAGAAATGCATGAATGTTTACAGCAAACCAACGAATTTCATGAGTGCGTTTCTCTCTGGATGGACCAGCTGCGGGAAGACTTGTCCCAAGACAGAGATCAGCCACATACTTAGGCACTTTACTCATGACACATTTGACAATAACGCGGAAATAGCCAATAGATTGGGAGATTGTATAGCGACGTGCAATCGGCTTAAGATCTGTTGGAAAAAGGCTAAGACATCATTCACACAGAAAACCCAAGTGTTTAATGCAATCATAAGATGAAGACTTTTGTATACCTCTTGACTTTAACTGATTAAAGTACCAGGTTCTGTTGGGAGTTCACTGCGCTCGCTAGAGGAAATACATGCACACGCACAGACACACCCACAAAGACGGATTGAGACTGACAAGCATACACAAACAGAGATAGCTAGATGCATGGCAGGTAGATAGTTAGACAGACAGAGCTGCAGATAGATGAAAACAACATGCGCGACGGATAGTACAAGACATAAACGAATACTGAGCACATACTTAGACAATACAAGTATATCACACTCATGCAGACTCTTGCTTGTTGTCTGTCTACCGCATGATCGGCACACTATGTTCTTCCAAGCGCTGAAGGTTCGGAGATCAAGGTTTCTCGAGGTTTCGGGCAGGAGTATTCTTGTCTTGGAGCAATGTTCGGAGCCGGCGCGGGGCTTAGAAAGGATTCTGAAGCCTGAAGCAAGGTTTCCCAGAACTTCCGCAACACACCCGACGGGTTGTGAGCAGTGCTTGCAGGCAACAGCTTGCAGCCACAGAGTGCCCTGCAGAGCTGATTGTCTCATCTGCAGTGTCTCATCCGAACCCTAAACTCGCTGTCGATCTGTGAGTGTGTGCGTGTGTGTGTGTGTGTCGTTTGTTTGTTTGTCTGTCTGTTTACACAGATTGACAAAATATGCTCCGAACTTGCCTGGCATGATCTGTCTAGTGCAGGCACCATGGGCACAGACCTGAGTCTGAGAATCGCTCCGTGCTACTTTTCTGTTGGATGACCCCGCTGCTCGTGGCTGGTCTGAAGACGCCAGACGTCGGGCTCGTTTTATGCTACACTAATGATTGTCCCCGTCGCGGCATGAAACAGACCGGCCTTGCAGGCATGCCGGGGTGCATTCCGGCTGCAGCAGGACCGCCAGACAAATTGAAGCTTTCGGACTCAAGGGTTTCGGACATCGGATGGAGGCTTCGGCTTCGGTGCAGGATTTCGTCAGGTGTAGGATGGATATTTTGAAAAGATCAATCTCCAACTTGAATTCAACAAAAATTGTGTGAAGGCCTATGTCATCTTGGGCTGTCTTACACCTGGCAGAGCCTTTGATCTTATGCTCCTGACGCCTCAGCCAACTTCCTGCGACCCGTGCTGGATGCAGTTCTTGCAGTCAGCTGTGCTCATACATTTTCGTCCACAGTCGCTCTTGCCGAGGTGCGGTTTGGGATCTTGGGACAATGCTTGCACATAATGTCTGTGAGAGAGAGAGAGAGAGAGAGAGAGAGAGAGAGAGAGAGAGAGAGAGAGAGAGAGAGCGAGGGAGGGAGGGATGACCATATGCCCGGATCATCCTCTGAAACGGCATGCTCAAAGTGTGCCTTGGATGCTAGTTGTCGGGGTTTACCCATTTTATCTGCTGTGTTGCTGAAGTAAGCCTGGAACGCTCAGCAGATGCTCTGCTGAGTCGGAGGCCTCGGTAACCTTTGATAGGTTGTGTAGTTGTGTTCTGTTCGTGCGGGGAGTTCTTCCCTCTGACTGCGATTGCTGGCATGGTGATAGGCAAATTCGCCTTGTCATGCGTGTAGCCTTTCTGGTCCTCATACCAGTAGACGGGCGCCTTGAGTGCGGAGGTGGGGTCGCTCCCAGATTCTTACCTTTTCGTATGAGAGAGGGAGAGAGAGAAAGAGAGTTACTTAAGCCAGTCATTGGTTTTAACCGTCTAGGCTGTAGTCTTGGCCCTTTCAACCTACTATTCGGGTGCATTCCCGGCCAAATGCTCCCGAAAATCATATTCAATGACTCGGGGAGTGTTGCTTCTCCGGGGAAGCGATTGCACATGTACGTATAACCTGTAGATGTAGGGGTGTGTGTGAGTGTGTGTATCTGTACATATACGTATCTGTATCTGTATCTGTATATGTATATGTATATGTAAATGTATATGTACATGTATATGTATGTGTATGTGTATGTGTATAATGCTTGTGCATACATGCATATGTACATGTTGATGCACACATGTGCATGTAAATGTATGAGTACGTGTAGATGTAGGTGTAGATGTATATGTCATACAGGGAACACATTTACTTGTATTGAAGAGGCCACCGCCCCTTCCTCGTTGCGCTTTTAGCAGCTGTCCTTGTGGCCCTTGCGCCCGGGTCCAGGCCATGAGACGGGATGGGAAGATATGGGAGGCTGCAGTGCGAGATTTGGGGTACCGGGCTTCGGGGAGAGTTTCAGGAGATATGAGGGGACACCATGGACACTTGTTTTATGTGCCCTGTTTACCCTCAGGCCGGCCACAGTATTCAGTGAGCTTGGTCAAGCAAACATTTGATCTTGGGCCCGGCCGGGTCCATGATTGCGTGCATATCCTGTTCCCCAACGATTCAAGGCTTGGGGGTGCAAGGTTTGAAGAGCTGAATTGTGGACTCGGAACGAGGTGCGCTCTGTTTGTGTGCGATTGATTGGCTGGCTCTACCAGGGCAGTGCCAGGGCAGCAGAATGCTCCGAAATGACAGAGCTGCTAGTCAGTGGACTTGAATTTGTTTCAGGTCGGAGATATTCTGGCGTGTTGAACTTCGAGGTTTGTGCGTTGACGAAAGTCCAACGGGATCTTGACATGAGGAGAATTAGTGCATACGGGGTCACACAATTTGTCTAAGAAAATGGGCACCATACACCTTCTGTCATGGTTCTTGTGAGCCTATGCTAGTGTCTTCGAGACCCCTGGTGACCTGTCTCCGACCAGGCCACTGGCTTTCCTCTCGCCTGCGCCAGGCCTCCGGTCCAGAGAGGAGAGGGATCTGAACGAAAGAGCGCGCCCCAGACAGAGGCCACAGCTGCGGTACAATCCCAAGACTCTTCTGAACCAGTTGTGGCCCCCCGGGTGAGATGGTGACATTGGCATGTCGTGGCAGGTCAGGGTACGAACCCGTGCCTTTCACGGGCGACATCAGGCCTGGAGAAAGTAAGCTTGCACACAGGCTTTTACGGAGGGGCTTTGTTGGGCAGATGCATTTGGCTAGGTCATGCAGAGGCCTGCATGCTGCAAGCGAAGCTGAAAGTGCTGTCGAAAGATATCTCAAGTTGAAGTAGCAACGAGCAGTGCAATGCATCGTGTGCCTGGTCCCCGCTGCAATCCCGTCCCTCCTCGCTATCCTGGGGATACCGAAGCTATCGAATCCACAGGCTTGGACATTGCAACGGTGCCAACGCTGATGCATGGTGCAACAGGCTCCACGTTTCCGGAACAGGAAGAGCTCTGTGGGGCTGAGCATGCCACCTTCGACATCTTC